AGAAGAAAAAAGCATCCTGCAAAACGGAAAAAGATCCACACATTGCATTATCTGATAAGGGTCTAGTATTCAAAAAAATAAAAGAATTCAAACAAAGATCAGCAAAAAAAAAAAAAAAAAAGCAATCCCATTTTTAAAATGGGTGAAGCTGGGCTAGAGACATGGCTCAGCACTTGCTGATTTTCCAGAGGACCTGAGTTGGGTTTCCAATACTAGGATGCTCATAACCACTTATCACTCCAGTTCCAGGAAACCTGATACCCTCTTGTGTTCCCCTCAGACATTAGTACTCAAGGATGCACCCACGTATGCATGCACATACACATGCACACACACACACACACTTTAAAAATAATGAAAGTACCTGAGCAGGTATTTTTTTAAAAGAGAGACTACCAGCAGGCACGGCAAAGGTGCTCACTGTCACACATCAGGAATACACCAATCAAAGCCAGAGTGGAATGTCGTGGCTGCATGTTAGTAATGCTATTATCAAGATGACAACAAGAGGGGCTAGAGAGGCGGTTCACTGGTGAGGAGCACTAGCTGCTCTTCCAGAGGACCCAGGCTAGATTCCCAGCACCCATCATTAATCATCCATAACTCCAGTCCCAGGCAATCCGATACCGTCTTCTGTACTCCTATGAACACCAGACACACAAGTAGTGTGCAGACATACACGCAGGGAAAACATTCATAAGCATCAAATAAAGTTTTTAAATTAAAAACAAAAGAGCTGACAAGGGACCATGTGTGCTGTCAGTAAAAACATAAACTGGAACATGTATTAACTGCAAATGACACAGGTGTTCTTCAAAACACTGAAGACTGCCATTGACAGGTTCTGGAAACTAGAGTCACTGTTAGCAGCTGTGTAACCACTACTGAACCCAGCAGCCAACCTACAGTGGACAGATCCAAGCTCATGGTCATACAGACAGCCCTGGTGAAACTCAGTGCGTCACAGAACAAACTCAATAGGTAAGTACATAAGGACAAGTTCTGTAGAGAAAGCAGGAGTGTCTGAGAGCAGGAGGGAGACCAGAGAGAATGGAGCTAAAAGTGGTCCATCATTATGTACTATGCATTATGTACATATATGAAACTGTTAAAGACAAATTTAATTAAGGCAAAAAAATTGAAAATATCCAAAAGAAATGAAACTGGCATCTTGAAAAGACATGTGCATACTCATCCACTGCAGCAGCACTGTCCACAACAGCCAAGATATATTAACAACCTAAGTGTCTGTCAATGGATGAATGAGAAGATATGGCTACTTATCCACAATGGATACACACACACACACACACACCCCCACCCACCCACCCACCCACCCACCCCCCTTGGGTTCTGAACAGAAGGCTCAGTGTTTCAGTGCCCCGACTTACGTGAAGGTTGAAAACCAACTGTAACTCATGTTCCAGGGGATCCAACACCCTCTACTGGCTTCTGCTGGCACCTGGTACTCATACATACACACAGGCAAAACACAGTCAACTCTTTTCAGTTTGTTCCAGTTCTCCAACTTCATTCTTTTGGAGACAGTTTTAATATATTACTACATTTTCCTGGCTATCCTTAAATTTGTGACCTTTCTCCCTTAGACTCCCAAGCTGCCACGATAACAGACACATGCCACAATACCTAACCTTCAAGTTTCTTTGTTTTCATTTTGTATATTCCGTATAAGAACTTCTGACTCTTTAAGCAGCACCTGAAATTATCAATCCCTGGGGGAAAGAGATACTATCTCCAAAGGCAGCTGTCCAGGAGACACTGGGAACTACCTCCTGGCTACAGCCTGCAAACAAGCGAGCAATGCAGATCAGTGCAAGATGCTGAGGAGGCAGACCCTCAACACAGAAGAAAAACACAAGCAAGACCAGAATAGTATGAAGATTTCCCAAATGAAGATGTTTCAGGAAACAAAATGAAAAACTGAAATCTACACAGGAGGCGGGAAAACAGAGAAATTGAAATAATGAAAAGCAAAGCAGAAACTCAAAGGATGATCAGTTGCACAGGGAAAACTCAGATGCAAACAACATGCATACTAGAGACAGCATTTTTCTCCCCTCAACCGTCAATCAAGTAAGACGAGAAAATAAGAAAAAGCAGGCTGGGGAGATGGCTTAGTCTGTCAAGTGACTACTCTGTAAGAATGCAGACCTGAGTTCACATCCCCAGTACCCATGTGACCTCAGCACCAGCATGACTGCCCTGCAAGCACCAAGACCAGAGTTCAGATCTCCAGCAGCCATGTGACTTCAAAACTGGTGTGACAGAAACAGGCTAACACAAGTTCGCTGGCCACCCCAGTCTAATTGAATCAGTGAGCTCCAGGTCCTACAGAGAAACCCTGTCTCAAAAATCAAAGTGGGGGCAAGGCAAAGGTGAGGAAACACCCATTGTGACCTCTGGCCCACACAGGCCCACATGCAAAGACACACACACACACACACACACACACACACACATATATATCACATAGATAAAAAGGGGGAGAGCTGTGTAGATTCAGGGGAGAAAGTCTCTATTCACCAAAATTGCAAATATCCACGTAAAAATAGTACCAAAAATGTATTTGAAAATAAATGAAAGACATCCATTTTTTAAAGTTCCTATCCCTAATTAGTGAATTACCAACATCATAGGTCACAAATCAATATAGATCAGAAAGTCAAGAAATAGAGAACTTGCTAGCACTCTTTGGGTCCAATCTCCACTATCACAAAAACAGTATTTTTAAAGAGTTAATTGTATTTCTATTCCAGTATCTAACAATAAACAATGGGAACCAACATTACAAAAATAGCATCATTTATAACAGCTTTAAAAACAAAATACTGTGCTAAAAAATAACAAAATATGCACAAAATAAAGAACACTGACATAAGAAACAAAAAAAGTTATTCCTCCACAAATTCATCATTAAATCAAATGCAGTCTTAGTCAATAATCCAGCAGGACTTTTTGTAGATATTGAAAGCTAATTTTTCAAATTTGTATGTAAGAAAAGAAAGTAGAACACCCCAAAAATATGAAAATGAGAACAAAGTTATTGAGCTCAGACTATTTTTTAATGGTGTGTGCGTACGTGTGTGTGTGTGTGTGTGTGTGTGTGTGTGTGTGTGTGTGTGTGTGTGTGCGCGCCACATGCATGCAGTGGCCTGCACAGGCCATCAGAGGGATCCAGCCCCAGCCCCAGGTAGCTGGAGTTGGGGTTCCTGTGAGCCACCCAACAAGGCTGCTGACAACAGAACTTGGGTTCTTTGAAAAAACTGCAAATACTCTTAACTGAACAGTCTCTCCAGCCCCACTCCAAGGCCCCACCAATTTTTGTGGTGGGGGGGTAGAGCATTGAAAAAAAGATATATCTCTATGTAGCACCAGCTGTCCCAATACTCACTATGAAGATCAGGCTAGCCTCAAATTCACAGAGATTCCAATGCCTCTGCTTCCTGAGTGTTGTGATTAAAGGTGTGCACCACCATGCCTGGCCCTCTTACAGCAAAGCTCCAGTAGTTAAGGCAGAAGGATTTACTGACACAAGGACAGATGAATAGATCAAAGGAATGAGAGAATTCAGAAAAAGACTTAGACAAATACATGAAGTGATTCTTGACAGAGGGCAGAAGCAATTTGGAGACAAAAGGATAGCAACTACAGTAACAATATTGGCACACAGTGCAAACATGAACCTTGACCCTGTATCTTGCACCTTAACTGAAAACAGCTCAAAATGGATCTCAGACTCACATACAAAACATCAACATTGTATAAAGCACTGACAGAGAACACTGTTATGGATCTGTCTATAAATTCCAGACACAAAACTGAGTATGGGGTCAAGAACATCCCAAATGATGCATGGGGCATCGACAGCTTTGGCTGTGTAGGACACACCACTACAGAAAAAAGAGAGACAGCTGCAGACTGGCAGAAACACCGTGCCACCACATATATCACAGAGATCTAGAGTCTTCAACTGGAATTCAAGTTCCAAGGGAAGGGAATGCAGGCAAGCACCTCTATATGTTAAAACTGAGAAAATGCTGTATGCCTACCTATAACAAGGTTTTATGCCTGGGGTACAATGAGAACTCTATCTCTGGCTTCCCTTGGATAGAGTACAGTTAAGCAAAATAACCAGATGCTTTACCACAAAATACACATGCAGGACAAGCACTTGAAAAACTACCAAAACTGTGTGTTAAAAACACAAGACAGCACCACACATTTAATGCAATGGTTTTCAGAAAAAAAGAAAAGAAAAACAACTGGCAATACTAAGTGCTGAAGAGTCTGGAACTGCTGAGCCCAGCGCATTCCTGGTAACACAGAACAATGCTGTTTCTTCAGACGCTCCGGAAGGCAGGGCGGGAGTAACTCCCAGCTCACCTCAGATGTACCAAAAATAGGCAGGCGAAAAAGAATTCTTCAGCAAATATCAGCAAGGCAAACCAGCAGCAGAGTCAAAGAATGACCCAGGAACTGTTTTCACATTGGAAGATTGATGTAATGCAAAGCATGGGTAGGAAAAGACAAAAATCTGCCGATCATCCAACTCTATGAGGTTAGGTTCGAGGGGCACCTTGGGATACCGCTAACATTACGTTCTCCCAGTGTTTGGCTTATGGGAGCTGACGGATGTTGAGTCTATGCCTACCGCATGCCAGGGATTCTGCTCAGTGCTAATGCAGACACACAGAAGACAGGCAAGAATGTGACTCAGTAAATGTTAAAAACAAGCCTCACATGGGCACACAGAGAATCACTGCCCGACGGTGTAAGGAGACTATCTCATTCCTACTCTTAATTACAGAGGCATATTTCAAACTGTCAAAATTCAATCATGTGGTAACAAATAAGCTAACATGTAGAAAAACTTAAAACAGTAACATTTAATTTTCTGCCTTACTTTCACCTCTCACAAAAATGTTACCATTTTTTTTTAACCCTAGCTGCTATAAAGTTTGGGACAGTCTGCCCTGTACCTTGTGAGGGCCCAGAATCCTCTGCCTGAACTTCTCAACCGTTTCTTGACCCATAGCCGACCAAGCGTTGGCGAATGCCTCTGCTCTGTCCTGTGTAAGATGAATATTTTCCAGTTGCTGCTGCAGTGCGGCTGGCTTCACGTTGTGGTACACTGCCTGTAAAAGGGGAAGGACACACATCCTCAGGCTTATGCAAAGACCTTGAGTTGTAGGCAGTACAAAAGTATTTAAAGCAAATTAAATACTCTCTCTCTCTCTCTCTCTCTCTCTCTCTCTGTGTGTGTGTGTGTGTGTGTGTGTGTGTGTGTGTGTGTGTGTGTGTTGCACTCACGCTTGGGATTAAGTGCACACGAGTGCAAGTTCAGGGCCTGTGGAGGTCAGAGGCATTGGATTCCTAGAGCTGAGCTATAGTGCTTTTAAGCAGCCAGAAGCAGATACTAAAAGCCAAATTTGGGTCCCCTGCAAAAGCAGTAAGTGCTCTTAACTGCTGAGCCATCTCTCCAGGCCCAGCATTAAAACAGTTTAAATCGAAAAGACTCCATAGCCCTCTTGCAGGCAGGCATTTTCAACAGTTCTATTAACAACAATATGCAAAACAAAGAACTAAAACTCATGGCTAATAGGCCTAACTTTCTCAGGCTAAATGTTTCATTTGCCTTGTGGTTTAAAGACTACTATAATTATTACTTAACAAAGTTTTATTTCATTTATCTCACTTAATTATCTAAAGTTTACAATGATTTCAGCAAATAGATTTTCCCAAGGAGTCCCAAAAACTGCCTTTATCTCTCAACCAAAGTTATATATAACAAAAGAAAATTCTAAAGTAATTTTAAGAACATCTGTTCTATCCCTTGTATAAATTGAGAACAACTTTCCCACAAACCCCATCCTGTGCTGTTATGTTCAACTGCCTTTCTTTCTCTACGGAAGGTTCACCAAGCCTAAGAAGCAGTCATCCTTAAGATCCACATTAAGGTCTGAATATGAAGTGCCCCTCACAGGTTCAGGTGCTTAGCGCAGGCACTCTCTTTGGAAGACAGTCACAGCCACTCCCACCTCCATGATTTCCCTTTGAAATCCATCAATCAAAATAAACCCTCCCTATTCTAAGTCATGTATCTGGTGCTAATAACAACAACAAATAAGAGAGGAAAGTAGTATAAGGAGTGATAACCCTGACCATGGGTTTACAGGCCTTTGTAATTGGTATATGGGAGGAATATATATGAAAGAGTTCGGGGCCACAGGCTAGAAAAGATCCAGAAGGCTGTGAGGAGAACATAATGTTGACTCTAAGAGAAATGCTGACAAGAACGGTGATTGCTATATCGTATTTATTTTTGCAGAATGAAGCACTATGGAAAGAAGTCATGCACTCAAAAATGTTTCAGTATATTGGAACTCTTAAGACATCCTGAGAGTTAACATCTTCCATAGCTATATAAAAATAGAGAGAGCCACAGATATTAAAGGCATGAAAACATGCAGTAGATAGGAAATTAAGGCTATAAAAGTACCTGCTCCAGAATAAACGATATTGTCTCCAGAACCAGCTGAAGCTCTTGTTTCTCTAGAGAGAATGCGGCCTGAAGTTTTTCTTCCTCTTCTTCACTGAAGCTGCTCTCGGACTACAAACACAGAAGCAGTCAGTTCAGAGGATGCATTCACAAGACGTACTTATTCATATAGGAAAAGAGAAGAAAAGGCCACATTGAGAGCAAACTGGCATGCTTATTCTCTAAATTATGACACTTGTTCTAGACAACTGTAAGTGGAGTGAAACGAACTTTCCGTGGTGATATAACTGATCACTGGAAATCTAAGCTGAGGAACGGATGCTTTTTCTGCTCTAATTTTAGGCCACCTCAGACATCTGTGCTTTACACTTCTGATACCTGGTTTTCTTAGTTCTTTCATTTCATCTCATAATTAGCAGTCACTTCTTAAAACTGCTGACTTCCCATCACAGCAGAGCCTTCATTCCCCACTGCACCTTCACTAGTCTGCCTTGCTGTTTCTAGTGTGCCTGGTCAGGATCCCCGACAGCTGTCTCTACAGGTTTCACGTGGGGTCCCCAAAGCTCTGCGATGGGCTTTCCCGTTAGATGAGTTGTAACCACTAATTAAGATCACAGGCTACAAATACCTGTTTCTAAGTTCTCAGCTACAGAAGTTGGTGTGACGTCTCCCAGTTTTTCCCAATAAGTGCTGATGTGTAAGATGAGACATGATAGAATGTTCCTGCTCCTGTTATTCCCCCGTCTTTCCATCTACATCACAGGCAAGAACTTAGAGTTCCCATGCTGGCTTTGCATTTCTTATGTGAAAGAAAAGAATTAATGCCAAATGTATACATCAAGTGCCAGCTGTATAATGAGGAATGTATTGGGGGAGGGAGCTATATATGGGTAAGGAAAGGCACGACTCTCAAGGCTACAAGTAGAAAGACTGGTGAAGAAGCATAGGGATTTGGTTGTCTCCTGAGAAATGAGTGCTCACAATGCAGTGATACAATGAACAGAGAATCAGCCAAATATTCTAGAAGCACAGAGAAGAGACTAGCACAATGCTTGAAAGGTGGATGTTCTCTCTGTGAAGCAAGGAAGAGGAGCATTTGGAAACAAGGGGAGGAATGTGCACACAACATACGGCTGGAAAAGGCCCCAGAACACTGTAGTAAATGTGTATTGTCCAGTGTGATTGCAAATGCAAAGTAGGGAGAATGTAGGCCGCTGCCATGTTCTAATGGATTCACACACAGTGTTTAGAATATTGTTAGGGACAGCTACTGATGTTTCTAAGTGCTGTTAAGTATGATCAACACTTTTAAAAGAGAAAAACATTTAGAAACGTTACTGGAATGGTATTATTAGGAATCGATAAAGGTCTGGAAAACTGGTTCAGTGGATGAAAGTGCTTGCTGCTCTTGTACCCACATGAGGCAGTTCACAACCATCTCTATCTCTGGGGGATCCAATGCCCACTCAGGCCTCCGTGGACACCAAAAACACATGTGGTACACATACATACATGCAGCAAAACACCCATCATACACATTAAAAAAGTAGAAATACATAAGTGTAAAAAAAAAAAAAAAAGATAAAAATCAAGAAGATTGTGAGTGACAGATACTAGTCCGAAGCCAGGAAACAATAAGGAGCTGAAATAAATTTGGATTTGAGAACAATTCAGAGTGAGTATGCTACAGGCCTGGGGCTGTCTCCTGGCCAATAGAGGAAAAAGGTTAAGAGCCTTGAGATAACTGAATGTTGGTGCCTACAAAAATGCTTAGCATTTCATAGGTGCTCCACAAACACGGTCAGTGAAATTTTATAACCCCATAAAAAACATAAATTGAACTGGTTACCAAATAATGACTTAATTACCAAGCATCCACATGGCCAAACCAACTGCACCCTTGAAATGAAAGCAAAGAAAAAAATCAGAGATTAAATATTGTATAAGATGCTATGGAATAATCCTTCTGTACACTGTGAAAATGTGTTGTTTTCACTGTTTGGCCAATGGCTAGGCAGGAATTTTGGAACAGAGAGAATGCTAGAAGGAAGAAGGGCGTAGTCTGAAGGGTCTCCAAAGATGCAGAGAGAAGCAAGATGAACATGACACATTCAAAGAAGGTACGGCCATGTGGAAGAGGGTAGATAAGAAATATGGGTTAATTTAAAATGTAAGGGTTACCTAGTAACTAGCCTGAGCTATCTATTGCCCAAGCATTAATAATTAATAATAAGCCTCTTCATATTTATTTGGGAGCCAGCTAATGGGACAGAGCAGGCTGGCAGTCCTAACAAAAACTCTGCCTAGAGTGAAAAGTAATATTGACTGAATTATTTTTAAGACTTATTGATTATTTGTATAGGTATGCGTGGTTTCTTCGTGACTTTATATGCACCGTGTGCATGCAGGAGCCCAAGAAAGCCAGAAGAAGGCATCAAATCCCTGGAGCTGGCATTATAGGTGTTTACAAGCCACTAAGTGGGTACTGGGAACTAAACACAAGTCATCTGCAAAAGCAATGTGTGCTCTTAACCACTGAGCCATCTCTCCAGCCCTGCGCTGAACTATCTTTACCAGGAAGAACTAAATCAGCCTTTTCCTAAAAGCATGTTCCACAGAACATTGTATACCAAGATAAAACAGTTCCAAAGCAAACCTTCGTCCTTAAATATGTGACCCAAACATTAGAATGCAAAATATTCTGGAAAGCTCCATTTTTTTTTTTAAAGTTAATTATAGAATACAAAGTTTCCCAAACTTTTGACCAGAGAACATTATCAAATCTTCCACAGATCTAGAGTTCCTGAGAACACACAAAAGAACATTATTTCGTACATTTTCCAAATAATAGCATCATGCTTCAGGGTAATTGGAGGGATCAGAAGCCACAGGGAGACAGAAATGCAAACCTTCAGGTGGAGCTTTTGAAGAATTCGGACAAGAAGGCGTGGGAACCGTCCAGTATCTATTGCATTTATCAGCGGCACTGCTTTCTTCATGCTAAATAGATGTGCAAACAAAGTTTCAAAATAAGTTTTACAATGTATTTGCCATTGATGTTTATATGTTTTAATTCAACAACTCTAGTAGCTCTGTCGTCTTAGTGAAATAAAGTGAAATGAATGACAACCAGGTAACCAATCTGAGCATTTCCAAAAAGATGCCTCTCCCCCAAAGTATTCCTGTTGCAAAGTGCATTTGACAATTTTCTCTTTCTTCCCAGGCAAATTACTTGGGGAGGTATGTACCCTGTCAGGGAATAGCAGTGATTTAGCAGTGGGAATGCATGCTACCACTTAATCTAAAACAAACTCTTAAGGAGTATAAAGAAGAACACAGCAAACTAGGGAATTACACCAAAACCATAAAGGATAATGATGGCAAATAACGGTGGCAGGAAGGGGAAGATAGTTCATACAAAATTATTTAGCATGCACAGTTACTTTAAGACCTGTGTCACTTATAATAACCAATTTCAAACTGTGTGGTGAGCACAATGGTGTACACACTGAATGTGCCTTAATAGTGTGTGCTCCCCCAGGTCAAGAGCTTGAAGAAGTGACTTGTCAGATCCAACTGCCTTCTTCCCAATCAGGAATGTAGTATTCAACCTTCAATACAGTTGCCTGCATTCATGAGTATTTCTTCTGCTTCCACAAACTGAGTTGGTTTTGGCTGAAATAATTTTGTTTTAATGGGGGAAATCTGAGTAGTGGGTGGTGGGGCAGCCAATAGCTCCAGCATATTAGCTGAGTAAGGCTACACGGACCTTGGATCCACGAGTTTGAAGCCAGTCTTGGCAATACAGTAAGAACTCCGCCAAAGAAAATCTTTAAAACTGGGCTCTGCATCACCACCACAGCCAGGCAGTCTTACCTAACACTCCGAAAAAATTTAAAACTAAATAAAATGAAAACAGTATTAATGGTACCAAGAGTGCCTAAATATGCCACTAGTTGCCTGAATTGCCTGGCTTGGTTTCAAGAGGCTATTAACACGTGTTTATTTGTTAAGCACGCCATAGTACCAGCACGAGCCTTTCTCATCATCATCGGGTCTGAAATGACTAAAAACAGAGGGTACTTTCCCAAGAAACTGGAGCATCTAGTAACTTCTACTTCCTGCGCTAAAAAGTCACTCATGTCCATATCTCTGGTACAGACCAGCGCGGCCAGGACAGCAAACTCAGAGCAGGTGAAACACTCCAAAATGGATGCGCGCTGCCCCCACTTTTCCTCCCCTATGCCCACACCCTCCCCTATGCCCCGCCCACTCTCCCCACGCCCCGCCCACGCCCCTTCACGCCCCACCCACCTTCCTCCACGCCCTCCTCCGCGTCCCGCCCACACCCTCCTTGGCGCCCCTAGACGTCTCTCCGCAGCTTCCCTCCAGCTCCCGACCCGGGTCCACTGCACCACAGCAGCAGGCAGTGGCGACACCTCTGCTCCCACCCAAACAGGTCTCCTCCGCATGACGGGGCACTCAGCCTGACCGCTACCTGGGGCTCTCCGGAAAGATCAGCGCCGCGGACGCCGCCATCCTCAAAGCTTCCTCGCCCGCGCGACTGTCAGCTGTGCACAACCCAGCCAATGACGGCGAGCCTGACGGAAGCCCGGGAGGGCCAAGTCGCGCCGCCCGGACGTTTGCTCGATTTTTGCAGCGAGCAGGACTCCTGGAGGCTTGTGCGTGGTCCCTACAGGGAAAGGAAGGTCGTTGTCATCATTTCTAGCATTCTGACCGTTTTGGAATCCGGGCTATACATGTATATTTATTTTTATTTATAGATCTGCATCCCTGGCTAGGTGTATGTGTATATGCGTGCAATTTAGGCACCAGTATACATGGCTGTGCATCCACAAATGTAGTATATGTAGCAATTTCTTTTTTCAGGTTTAGTGAAACCTGAGGCCTCTACGGATAGAGAAATGGGCCAGCGAGCATGCCCTGTCAGTTGAGGTTATGCTACCAACCCTGCTATTGGCCCTCCCGTGTCTGCATCCCCAGGGTTCTCTGCAGAACACAGTTCTGGCCTTGGACACGTTGATCAAATTCCTTCTACAGTGGTTTCATTGAGTGCCTACTGTATACTGTTCATTGAGTGCCAAGCATCGAGCTAGGCACTGGGGACTCAAACAGACAAATATGTTTTGTCAGCAATTAAAATGGACAAGTATTTGTTGGAACTATTTGGGGTCCATCGTAGCAGAGAAGAAAGCTAAAATCTCCAAGACGTGTATAGTTAAGTTTCTCACAAGAGAGTAAGGAGACAATGCATTTTCACAAAAACCTTTATCTGCCTGAGAAGAAACTGGAGGAGGGTGTTAAGGGATGGGGGAGTAGCAAAGTAGGGCTGGAAAATATGAGAAGTTTCCTAAGCCTGTAGAGATGAGGAGGGTGTTTCAGCAGAAGACAGAATGAGTAAAGGCTGAGAAGTAGAAGAACGATTTGTCGTGTTAAAGACAGTCTGGAAATTAAACCAGAAGCAGCTTTGGTGAGGGGCTTTGGCCTGTCCCTTACCTGTAGGAAAATGGGTAGCCATTAAGTGTTAGGGGCTTGAGTGTTTGTTTTTAAGATTATATTGAGAATGACAGTCTGATTGGGAAGAGATAAGGGGAAAACTGCACAGGAACTTACTGCGATAATCATAATCAAATCCCATGAGAGTGAAAAGGCAATGGAAAATGAAGACAGCACATGGATTAGAGTTACATTTTAATAGCAGACTGTTGAAGAGCTGGCAAAAGATCGAATTTAATTTTCCTTCCTAATTATGTTTTACTTAAATTATTATTTAAATTAGTTGGCATTTCTGGAGCAACCAAACAACAGTGTAACTGAGAGAAGCCAGATTGCAAATTAAAAGTGAATAATCCCCACGTGGATAATTTAGTCAATTATGCAGCATGTTGAACACATACAAATACATTTAGTTCCACAACACTCCACACATTCCCCCCGATTTATGCATATCTGAAAAAGATGTATGTGAATCTACATAATTTGTGGGTCTGTGATCCAAACACAGACTGCCTTACCTGGCATAACTTTAGATGGGCCCAATTTTTCCTCAGTCTTTGAAACATTCTCCTTGTGTCTTGATTCACTGCTGAAGTAAAGTCACTAGTCAATTAGACCTGGTTCAGATCCCTAGTGAACTTCAGCCCTTCCTTGGCTGTCTTGAAAAACACAGAAGAGGTTCAAACCCTGAGTCAGTGTAACCCTCACATACCCTCGAATGCCTGATACGTGATTTGGAGGTAACATGATGTCTGCTTCCCTGGACTGTGGTGAGGATTAAGGAATGTGATCTGTACCTTTGAGAGAGAATCTCTATGAGAACCGCATTATATTATATATAATATACATATATATAATCAGATACAGGATAAAGGACAAGGTATAACCAGTTGCGAAGTCCTTCTGTTCTGCCCAAGGGAGCTGGGAACTGGCACCATGCTGCTTCATACCACCTGACCTGGTCTCCACAACCAAAGAGAATGCACAACCTCTGGCTCTCTCCTTTTAAGAGATCATGCCCACAGACAAGAAGCCCACCCCAAGGCCAGCATGTCAAAGCTATCAGCAGAATGAATTCCCACAACACTTTCCCTTTTCATGTAAATAAGGTACTAAACCTAATACAAAGCTATATAGAACAGGAACGATTATCAAGTATTGTCCAGGAGAAAGAATGGGTAATAATACACACAAAAATGGAACTACAACCAATAAGAACAACACCAAGCCAGAAATACATACTTTCCTTAGAGTACGTACAAAGCACAGACCTCCAGAGTCTCCTCCAGAGAGGCACTGCAGGTCACAATAGCGTATCACACCAATTCTCTCCATATGTAATGATGACTGATACAGTGATGCTGTAAACAATTTCACCCTTTGAATGCTGTTCCCACACTGTCTGGTATATGGGCACACATGTCCATGACAGGATCCCTTAAAGTTGTCTACTGGTGACTACTTGTTGCAGAATGGGGACTGACTGGAGTCAGGATTCCATAGCTACTCTTTACTCTTGTCCTCTATACACTAGTCAACCCAGCTTCAGGATGGGTGCAGAGCCCAAGCCTGTATCCACTAATCTATTATGGATACCTAGCTCTCCAAATGCCGCAAAGCTTTTTTACTTTTCTTCCTTTATTGTTAACTTCAATTTTACATTTTTTAAATGTGTTACCCATGACTCTCTAGAAAGAGGCCTGGCTGCCTACATGATAGTACCCCATTAAAGGGTGTGATTTCAGAGAAGTATGAGTGAGAGCTGAAGAGATGGAAGGAAGGGTGGGAGGAAGGCAAATGCAAAAAAGTGATGTTGTCCAATTGTGTGATGGCTAATTCTGTCAACTCGACAGAATCTAAAATTACCTCAGAGACTAGTATTATCCTTCTAGAGCCTTCCTTCATGACCCACTCCGAGCCCCGCACACACCTCCCTCCACACCATGCCCATGTCTGTGAAGGATCCCATTAAGGTGGGAATGCCCACCTTGCATAGGGAGTACCATTCCTTATGCTGGGGCTTGTACTGAATAAAAAGGAGAATGCAAACTTAGCAGCATCCACCCCGCTCTATCTCCTGATTACAGACACAGTGTGGCTAGCTACATGAAGCTTCTGCCACCATGTCTTTCTGGCCATAATGGACTGCCCCAGGGAAAAGCCAGGATAAACGCTTCTTCTTTAAGTTGCAGTGGTTGGGCATTTTGATGCAACAATGAGGACAGTAACTAATATGAACCAGACCAGAAACTAGAGTGTCCAAATACTTCTGGCATTTGTGTGCCTGGTCAGGACAGAACCACAGACAAGAATCAGAACTGCTCACTTGCGGGATCTCTGCCCTAAAACTGCCCCACGGGTTTCCAACTCCTGTTGAAAGGAAATGTAGCATCCCCTCCCTCGTTCCAGGGAACCTGTCCTTCCCAGCTTGGTCCTGTCTGGGGTCCCTTCTTGTTTCGTACATCTCTCTTCAAGGCCGTTTTGTGTACTCATACTTCCTCCCTCCAATAGGCAAGGTTTTTAATTTTGGTATATAACAAAGTAGGGTAATTTCTGAACATACCTTTCAGAAATCTCCAAACCTAAGTGAACTCTGGACACACAAAACAGCCACTCCAAATTCATCCTTCAGCATCCCAGCCCCAAATGCAAGTGATTATCTTCAGAAATTAACCAAGAGCGGCTCATCCACCCCAGCCGTGCTGTGACTGGACCCTGGGCATTCTACAGTCCACGTGCTTCAGTGAAACAAAGTGAGGAAGGCAACTGCTGAGGAGCTTGGGAAAGTGGGGCAGAGCCCATCTGTACCACCCTTCGACCTGTATCACCCTTTCTTTACCAGAAGGGAAAGGGTCTCAGACCTTCTTATGGGGCCATAGGTAGAAGATTTCAGTGTGAAGACGCTCTTCTGTCCACTCATGTGTTCCTCGGAGGATTTGTAGGCAGAGGTTGGCTCTGTCCTCTTTAAAAACCACTTTCAGGCCCAGCCTCCGGTGTCCTCATTAACATTCCATTTTTGCAAGTTAAAGCCTGATGGAAACACAAAGGAGGAAATATCACAAACATCACTCCCTAAACTCAAGTGAGGAGGGTAGGCTGTGACAGGCTGAGGGAAGAAGGTGAGTAGGTGGAGCTTTGGAAAGGCTTCTCCTTCCCGGTAAGGCACAGCACCTTTTTTGTATTTTTAAATTCACTTTTATTTCCTCTCTCTATTGCTGTCTTACAGTTTTGAATCCCTGGAATTCAGTCGCACTAAAATAACATGCTAAGAAAGCATTTAAAATATTTTGTCAAATTAGACGGTGTGTAGGCATTTTGTACTACTCTGTCTGGGTTGTCCTACCTATGGCAAACTAATTAATGGCCTAGCCAAGGGACATTTTGTGTGGTGATATATTGTTTATGATCTAATAAAGCTTGCCTGGAGACCAGAGAAGCAAAGCAGCCAAGCCATCAGAGAGCTCTTACCTCTACTAAGGCTAGGGCAATCCTGTCTGCAATATGGCTGTAGACTAATTGCCCTCTGAGACCCTGCTCCTGTCTTATATACCTCTCTAGTGCTGAGATTAAAGGCATGCACCACCACCACCCAGCTTCTATGGCTAACTAGCGTGGTTGCTGGGATTAAAGATGTATGCTACCACTGTCTGGCCTCTATGGCTGTGGCTAGCTTTGCATTCTGATCTCCAGGTTAGCTTTATTAGATCATAAACAATGTGTCGCCACGATTTTGGAAATCTATAATTCATCCTGAATTTGTCAAGGACATCAAGCAAAGTATCACATAAGGCAGAATTGATACTACCTGATCCCCGTGGTCCAACCCAGCCTGAAGACAAAATACAAACCTCCTACGGGGCATCTCTATCAGAAGCCCTAGTCTTTCTTTGCTCCTTCTACCAACAGAGTGCACACCAACACTCAGTCACAGCTGGCAGCTCTGTTTTAGCTGTAGACAGCACTTACCTCATAGGTGTGAGAAAATCAATTGGGGTGTAACCAAAGAATGCCTTTGTAGATGGTAAACATGTCACTGTCGCCGCTTGTTCCATAATTTCTCCCCCGATTTCAAAGGGCATGACGTTT